GCGTCCATAACCCTAAAAGAACAGGATGATTGTGGAGAGTGCACGGATAGGGGCTCGAATTTCCTTGTTTATCGAGCTCTGTCGCGTCATCGTCGTGCGATGATGATGAGCGATCAATCAACAAGCTTTCGCTCTTGTTCATCGTTCACCACCACTTCCAATGCTCCTACCTCTTTGCTAGCCAAACCATGTCATCGTCTCTACCTAAGCGCGGCTCGGCCATGGACCTATTCCCGCCGACGCCCATTTCAGCTTCAAACAGCGTGGACAACACACCAAACCGGACCAGCTCGCCCAGCAAACACGGCTCGAACAAGCCACTTCCGACATCTCCAGTGGCGATCAAACCGAACCCGCATCCGTACGCTATCAAGACCACGTCGACGGGCGCGCTGAGCCGCTCGAGCAACGCCAGCCCGCACTACCGCATTGACCAGCACCACTACGTCCCGCCCAGTCCCAGCTCCAGCCCTTCGCCCACGCGTGGCAGTGGGTTTGCGTTTCCCGACCGCCAGCCGTCTTCCTCGTCTTCCTCTGCCTCGTCATCGCCTACCAAACCTTCCTTCCCTTCTTCCTCTTCCTCCTCTTTCCCCTCATCCTCTAGCACGACCAACACCAACAACCGCCACCACTACACCGGACACACACCCGAGTGGGACCTCAGCAGCACTACAGGCATGCCGCACCCGCCGAGCACGCCCAAGCGCAAGCACAGCAACGCGTACAGGGGGCACAGGTACAGCCAGAGTCTGACGGACGTTAGTGGTACGCCGGGCCCCGAGAGCGTCGCTGCGACGGTGGGCAAGCATCCACCGCGGCCTTTGCCGTTCCCGCCTAATCTCGTCAACCCGGGTGAGGAGGGTGATTACGGTGGTGAAGGCTATGGCTACGGGAATGGGGTGAGGAGGAGCATGTCCTCGTCGCCTACCAAGTCTTCGTTCCGAGAGCTACGCGAGCAGTATGCCGGCCAAAGTCAACGCCAAAGCTCCGACTTGTCTGCGTCGGCGGATCCTACAGTCCCCTCTTTCGATTTTCCTGGTCGTATGAGAGGGCGGGATGGAGAGACTTCTCCGAAATCGTGGACGCCGAAACAGGTTGGGGAGTACGTCAGGAGGAGGTACGATGCTGATGATCAAGAAGAGGGTGTGGATAATGTTGAAGCGGATGTGGAAAGATTGGTCAAGTGGGTTAATGAGAACCAGATTGGGGGCAGGGCGTTTTTGAGGATGGCGAGTAGCAGTGCGGCTGGGAAGGGAACTGGCTCTGGCTCTGGGTAAGTGCTTGCGTTTGTTCGTTATATATGCGTAGGATGCTAACGATGGAAATAGCAGGCAAAACGAAGTTATTGAACGCAAGTTGCGGGAAGCGTCGAGGACGCTCCGGCAGTCTTCGTTGCGAGGCAGGATATGGGGTTTCGGTAATGGAAATGCGCACACTGAGGTTCGTACATTTTTAATTTACGCTTTTTGTTCGCGTTGGATTATCTGGCGATTCTACTATCTATGGCTGCTAGCTGCGATTCTGCTAGTTATGGCTACTGGCTGCAATTACCGTCTGATGCTGTTGCTCGATCCGAGCGTACCTGTGTGGCGCGTTTCTTTCTTGTCCCTACTTTTCGTCTTATCAGCGTATGCTATACCATGATGACCCGGCAGCTAACACCCTTCCCACCTCTTTGTAGGAACCAAGCACATACATCCGCCCTCGCTCCGATTCCGAATCTTCACAATCCTCCTCAACATCCGAGACCCAAGACCCGCTCTCGATCTCGCAGTACAACAACCGGATGCGCACGCAGAGTGATGTTGTGGCTTTCAACTCTACTGGGCGTGGGGGCGAGTACTATGATAAACCTGTGAGGCGCCGAGCGGGAGTGGGCCGATCGGGGCACGTACGTGGGATGGTTGCGTCGTTTGAGAGGAGTTCGAGTGAGGATGACGGGGATGCGGACGGGGATGCGGATGCGGATGGTACAGGAAGAGAGGGGAGGGACGGTAGACGCTCGGTCTCACCGACTAAACCGACTATGCAGAGAGCCTTGCCGAGGAGAGGTAGGGTTGGGGATCTGTTTGGGCCGTTTGACTCGCAGCCCATGTCTGGTTCTGAACCTCTTTCTGTGCTTCCTCCTGTGCTTCCTCCACCACCTCTGTCTGGATCGGTTCGGGATGCTGGTGTGGTGCAAGATGGTACTGTGGGAGGTGTGGAGGATGATGTGCATTCGACGGTTAAAGCTAGGGGAGGTGGGGAACATAGGCAGGGTCAGTATGGACATGAGCAGCAGTTTGGGCTGCATGGAGAGCACGGACATCAGCAGCAGTTTGGGCAGCGCCGGCAGCAGCAGCAGTTTGGGCAGCACGGACAGCAACAGCAGCAGCAACAGCAGCAAGAGTTGCAGAGGATGTGGGGGTTGAATTTCCAGAGATCTGGAGATGAGAGGGAGGATGTGTCCCAAGGTCGGCCACTGGGTCAGCAACAGTTTTCGCAATTCTCGGCGCCATTGCAACCGCACGTACAATCCGATTCCCAATCGCAATCGCAATCGCACGTACCATCCCACGTACAACCCCACGTACAACCACCCGCGCGGTGGATCGAACCGCAGAAGAGCGGGCCTGTGTCTTCTGGTTCGAGGTTGTTGCCTGTGCCACCTACGTTTACGGGCCCTCCTCGGGTGTTTGATGTGTTTGATGGGCCTGGGGCTGTTGGTGGTGGTGGGTTTGGGGGTGTGGGGGTGGAGACGTTTGGGTTTGGGGGTCCGGATGCGGTGGTTCGTGGTGGGACCGCGTTTGGGAACGATGCAGAGTTTGGGGTTATTGGGAAAAGGAGTGCGAGTTGCAGTCCGAATAAGGGTCGTGGTGCGGGTATTGGGCTGGAGGGGAATGGGAGTGGAGGGAGGAATGGGAATGGGAGTGGGGGTGGGAGTGCACCGAGGATGTTGCCTCTCCCGCCCGTACCGCTTTTCCATCCTGTCCCGAGGAGGGGTGTGGAGGGTGTGCTTGGGTTGGGCGGTGATGCTGATGTTGATGCTGATGCTGGGGATGGTGTTGCGGTGGAAGACCCGGTTTTCACTCATCCTGAACCAGCGGCCGAGGTCCTCGATGCTGGGGGTGTGAAGCGTGAGGAGGAAGAGATGTCGATTGAAGAGTTGATTAGACGGGAGGAGATGTGTCAGGCGGGGGCGGGGGCGCATCAGTTTGAAGGGGAGAATGGTGCAAAGGGTGTAAAGGGTGCAAAGGCGTGGGAGATGGATGTTGGGTTGGGTGATACTGTGAAGAAGGTTGGGAGTGGAGGTGGGGGTGGGAGGAAGAAGAAGAGTTGGGAGGTGGTTGATTCGACTGCTTTGGTGTCGTTGGATGCTGATCCTGTTTCTGTCTCTGATGTTGATACACCGGAGGGCGTTGGAGAGGCTCGGAGCGATGTTGGTGCGGATGCGAGTCCGGCTTCGGATGCTAGTTTTGTTAATGTTGGGAGGAGGGATAGGGATAGGGAGAGGAAGAGGTCGTCTGGGCAGTCGCAGGGACGGCCGTCTGGTCCACGATCTCGTGCGCCGTCTCCTTCTCCGCCTCCTCCTCCGCTAGTGACTCTTCCGCGTGTGTCTGTGGGTGGAGTTGGTGAGCGTAGTGCTGATGTGGAAGTGAATGTGGAAGCGAATGCCAACGCGAATGTCAACGCTGAAGTGGCAGAGAGGTGGAGGGAGGTTGGGAGGCGGGAAGAGCAAGTTGCGAGGAGGGAGCGGGATGTGGATGTACGTGAGGGTGTTGTTGCTGCTGACCAGGATGTGGTTGTGCGGGAGAAGGAGGGGTTGGGTCTGAGGGAAGGTGTTTTGCGTGGCAGACAGGGTCAACTTGAGCAGCGGGAAAAGGCAGTGTTGGGGAGGGAAGATGACCTTGCTGTTCGAGAGGCCAGGCTTGTTGGAAGGGAGGCCGAGTTGGGGGATAGGGAGAAGGAGGTTGTGGAGAGGGAGGCTGGTGTGGTTGATCGGGAGGCTGGTCTTGAGAGGCGGCGGGTGGAACTTGAGGAGCGGGAGAGGGTGATTATTGGGGATCTGGAGAAACGGCAGGTGGAGGTTGGACTGAGGGAGGAGGCTGTGAGGGTGCGTGAAGAGCGGATTGGGTTGAGGGAGAGGGTGGGTGAGGATGATGTACAAGTAGAGTTGGAGTCGGAGCAGGAGCCTGCTGTGTCGTATAGTTTAGGTCGGAGACTTGCTGGGTACCTCGACCTTGTTGGTGCTGGCTCGTTGTTCGGTCCGGGACGCCCTGCGCCATCAGAATTCCAAGAACCTAACGCGCAAACGGAGGTCAAGACAGCCAAGGAGACTGGGAGGAGGAAGACTACTAGGGGTGCATCGGATGTGGTGCGTTTGGGTGTTGGGCAGCAGATTCCGGGGTATGTGCAGGTTTTGTTGGGGATTGGGATGTGTGTGGTGCTTGTGAGGGTGTTGCTTGGGAGGAGGGGTGGTGCGGTGGGTGTTGGTGTTGGTGTGGCGGCGTTGGGGGGTGTTGCTGTGAGAGGTGTGAGAGGTGCTGGGGGTGCGTTGGCGAGGTAGTGGGAGGGTGGGTGGGGGTGATTGTGATACCGTACAACTTTTGTTCCAGGCCATGGGCTCTTGCGATACCTTGTTCTCCCCGCTGTGCATGATTTCGATGACGGCTCGCGTTGGATGTTTTGCGCGTTTTTGTGATGGTTTTTGTGTTTTTGGGCTCTTGCTTTGACTTGCGATCGTGTCCTTTGTTTGCTATGACGCCACGACTTGTGATGACCTTTATGAGATGACTGATGCTACCCCGTTCATGACCTGTACATACCATACCACTATTTCACAGTGCGAATTGATCTAAAAATTTCAGCGTCACTCCCATGATTCTACATCCTGCATCACGGCCCAATCTTGGCATGTGCTGTTCCTTTCAACCTTTTGCTGGAGCACCTCTGTATTTTTTCACCCGCACAGCGACGAACCTAGAAGGACATTTAAACAGAAAGAGCGGGCATTTGCACACGCATCAATGGGGTAGTGGTAACCTGGGTCGTTGCCATTTGGGACTTGCGTTTGTCTCGACCCGCCGGGGGTTCGATTCCCTCTTGATGCATCAGGGCCCATAACCTGTCGCGTTAATGAGAGTTAACGATGGGCGCTTATTGGCTTCTTTGTTACAATTGTTACAATAATAGCTACCGTCTACGTTTACAAGAAACTAGGGTCGATTGTTAAAAAGACCTCGACGGAGTATGTGTATAAAGTGCTGTTGGGTACTGTTCCCTTATGTCCTGTCTGGACGGGGACAGTTTAGTTTTGCCATCCTCCTCTGATAATCCCCAAAAATCCTTCCCGCGAGCCTTATGGATGCAATATGCCATTCTGTAGTGAGTGCCGAATTGATCTTTTTCTTTGTAACTTCTGAGATCTTGGCTGTGATCTTGATGGGAGGGGTTTGGCCTAGATAGAACATGGATGAACCAAGTGGCCAGATCTGAGGTTCGTGACGGAAAAGACACTCAGCTGTTTTTGTAAGGTTTTCCTTGTCCAGATCTTCGACCGGGTATTCGCAGATGATAGCCCTGGTCTTCTCCATCACTATCCTGGTGCTCTCCGCCCTCAGTGCTTCGTACTGTCGACATTCGACGAATAGGTGAGGCATAGTCTCCGTCTCCATGCATCCTAGTCGACACGTGTCCTTCGTTATCTCCCCTCTTTGATATAGCGTCTCGGCAATTGGGAGCTGACCGGAGCGAGTGTAGAGTTGGACGGTTGCGGAGTATGCTGATATGGCTTTCGTATACGGGAATTCGGGTGGTGCAGTGCTATTGTGTGCCCATGTCGCCATGCGTAACCCTTTTGTTGTGCCTAGTTTGGTAGATGTGCGTCGTGTCATCCGAAGGTCGATGTAATTTGCGATGTCGCTTTCAATCCACCCATCCTTCTGGTGATACAATGTGTAGGGGTTCATCTCGAATGTGGGGATGGGAGCTGGTACCGTCCAGATGTCGCAATTTGAGGCGGTGGCGAGCGAGTCAGCTTCGTTGTTCATCCTGGCTTCTGTTGTGTCTTCTGATGAGTGTCCCGGCGTGTACTTGATCTCGAGGTTGCTTCTGGTTCTAATGGTCTTGAGCAGCCATCTGTAGTACGATCTTCCGTTCGAGTGCCGAAGTCGGGCCTCCTGTGAGACTGCTGTTTTGCTGTCGGCTAGTAATCGAACTGAGTTGAGATGGTCGGTGAGGATGGTGATATCTTCGCCACCCGATGAGCATCCCGAGAGGATTGAGCTCGCTATTAGACCCATGACTTCCCCCTGAAGGATTGAGACGTTCGTGCCAACAATTCGCATGGCGAGAGGTTTTGGGCCAACAACTGCTGCTGTGACTGTTTTGTTGTCGAGTATTCCAGCCGATGCCGGGTTCATCGACCCATCCGTTGCCCATAGTCCGTTGCTCGCATTTCCAGGCATCCTTTTCGTGCCGGGTGGAGTCATGTTCGCCATCGCGCGTATGTATTCTTCGGCCTGTTCCCGCCTGGTTGTTCTTGGCAGTGTTAGGTCGAGCGGGCCATTGACGAGGTTGTCGAGGTCGGCATGTTCTGTGAGGTGTCCCTTCAGTCGTTCCCAATTCTTCCTGGCGGCTTGTGTTCGAATTGACTCTGGCATGTCATTGCAGCGGAAGCGTACTCGGCCGTCGGGATCAAGTTTCCATATCCCAACTTGTCCGAGGGATAGGATCCCACTCTTGCATAGTGATCTGAGGCCAGTCCCGTTGATGGATTTGGACTGTCCGTTGGCATCTGTGGGGTTTTGGGTTAGTTTGACGATGTGAGAGACTGAAGTGTCACCGCTGAGCAGACTCGACTGGTCGGTCCTTCGAATGGCTATGCCGTGCTCTTTGAGAATCTTGTGGGCGATGATCCATGCTTGCGGTATATTCCTAGTGAGCGACATATCGCGTTTCAAGCCGGCGCCATCGAAGGGGTAGATGCAGTTGTTTTTCTCGCACATCCAGTCGTTCAACGTTATCTGCGCTAGTGTTCTGTAAGCATATAGATGATGGTTGAGATCGTGGTTTATTCCGTTTAGTGCGATACCAGCGTTGATCCTTGCGATCGAGGGGAAGCCTAGCCCAAGGGCTGAGATCGGGAGTGTCGCTATCTCTGTGTTGGGGCTAAATGGAAAACCCGTGAGCTGGTGAACCCTTCTGATGATGAGCTTATCAAGGGACTCAGCGTCATTTTGTTTGATTGGCTGGAGGTATAGTAGAGCTCTGCATCGCGATACGATGTTCTGGGCCACGATCTTCCTGGCTAGTGTAATGGGTAGTCGTCCAATGATGGTGGGGAACTGGAACGTTTCGATGATTTCCTTTAGTTCCTCGAACCTCGAGGCGGGGTCGTCAACCTTGGTCCTCAGGAAGTCCAGTTCGTCTCGGACTAGGGCCACATGATGTTTCTTGACCGTCATCGGATTTGTATTAGGCCCCGTGGAGACGGACTCAAACTCGATGGTTGTTGGTAGGTTGGTTGATTTCTTTTCGCTAATAATGTACGCCTTCGACTTGGACCACTGTGTGAGCCAGCCATATGCGTACTGGAAGCGTTCCATCTGTAAGGTATTAGTGAGTAAGGATTTCTGGGATGTGGAGAAAATGTATGAGTCATCTGTTGCCTCCACCATGGACACCAGTAGTGTCTGTGAATCCTCGGGAGTGTGGGGATCGCCCTGCTGGTGTGTGGTTGAGCTGATCCTGAGCGCGTCGGGGTCATCAGAGAGAACGTCGTGAAGGTAATAGTGACCCATGCTGGTTGTAAACGTTGATTTGAGGGGGGACAGTGCGCCACCTTGCTTGTTGACACCCGAGACCGTAATCGGTTGCGTTATGCCATATGCCGTCTTGATGAAGCATTTTGTATCTGTCTGCGCTGCCCTATCTATGTCGTTAATGGATTCGGGCAATCCGTAAGCTCTCACCGCATCATAGAAACCATCGGGCGACAGATAGTCGAAGCCTTTCATCTGATCTCTTTTGACTGCATAGACAGGTTTCTTGTTTCGAAGCGACCAGGTCTTGATCCCTGCCAGAAACGACATCAAGTCCCTAGTCTGAACACCTGGTTGTGCAGCTACTTGTGTGTTTGGTAGGATGTTCTTCTTTGCTGCATAATTTATCAGGCTATAGTTCAGCCATGACATCGGGGTGTTGGCTAGGAAATTGGAAATCAGCAGACCTCGCCAGTTCTGAAGATCGGTCTGTACTCCTCTTTTGTGGAACATGGTGAGCCACATGTCCTTTATGTTTCCTGGGAACACCGAGTTCATGACCTGATAGTTGTGAAGCTTCAGCACCAGGTTGAGGGATTCGTCAGACAGGGACTTGACAGCCCACTTTTCCCATTTGTCGGGGCCAGGTGACGGACAGTGGTTTCCTCTGTGTAATAGGGCCCGGAAGTCGTCGAGCGTTGCTGGTCTAGGCCACGTGAAGGGGTCTGCGAGTACCCTAGCTTTGACGGCGGCGACCGAGGGAGTGGATAGCCATGGTTTGGCCATAGCAGGAATTCGGCTGTGGTCGTATAGGCGTTGGAAGTATTCTCTTGTCTCTGCCATGACGCCTTCCGGGTGGTATATGAGATCATCGGGTTGGTCAAGTGAGTTGACAGCCAGGGGGAGTGGGATAAATTGCGTCTGTTGGACTAGACGTTTGGTTGAACCACCATGAAGGGCTTGCGTGACACGTCGCTTGTTGTTGTCCTTCTCCCGTTGGATGATCTCTTTGGCTTTGAGGGCAAACAGTTCTTTGTGTAGGGCCTTCCGCTGCTTGGTCAGGTTAGAGAGAACATCAACTGTGTTGCACATTGCATTTTGGTGGCATGCCAGAGCCCGGTCTGCGACTTGAGCGGTCCGTTCCGACTTTTCGAACCTGATTGCACCTCCAACTGCCCTAATCCGGCCTACTGTCTCTCGAATTTCCGGGTTGGTGATGTCTTTCCTTCTATTCTGCCATTTGGTCTTCTTCAGTCCAAACACCTCCTCGCCAGTGCCAACAATGATTCGAGTTAGGGCATCATACAGTTGTGTAAACGCTTCCGGCGAATCAACCACTATACTGTGGAGGCCTTCATCCCGAGTTTTCTTGTCAATGGCAGTGCGGAAATCCTCGTATCTGTGCTTCTCCGTTTTTGCTGGAACCACAATGCGTGGTGCGTTTACTTGCTGCCTGGGGAGAGTGGTATAATTCTGATTGCTTGTTTCTAGGAGTCTGGGACAGTAGAGTGTGATGCGTGCTGCTATCGGTCTGTGATCGGTGAAAGGGACCCAGTCTGTTGGTTTCTTGCCAACCTCGATGAAGCTGTCCAGCAGGGTGTCAGCGGATGTCACCACACGATCAATGATATTCCCAGACTCGGCCGATTCGTTGTGGCCTTTGCAGGTGTAGTCGGTGAGACGATCTCTGTCTTCAATTTTTGTCCAGAGATCCTCGCCTCTCGTCTTTTGGAGGAAACACAGGTATTGGGCTCTCGCATCTGTTCCTCCCGAAGCTCTTTCTTTTGCTGAGACAGTCGTGTTTAGATCACCAGCCAGAGTCCAGGGATGGGGAGATTCACTACAGAAGTCGGCCATGTCACTCCAGAAGCTCCCCTCCATGTTGTCTCCTCCGGGGTTCCATGGCGCATAACCAGCGATCAGTCGGTGTTTGAAGCATTTGCCGTTGGGTGTGGGCAGAGCAACATCGACTGCAACCACTCTTCCCTTGAGAGACGCATGCTTTACTATAGCACGTTGAAGGACTTGTAGGTCCTTGCGGATACCCAGTGCTATTCCCCACTTGAAGATGTGATGTCCGTCCGCTTTGACACCTGGCTCCTCATAGACGTCGTAGTCATGATGTGGGAGCGAATCGCGTACTTTGGACTGCGTCTTGGTTTCACCGATCACAAAGGCATGTGGTCTCCTACCGTTAATCATCGAGTTTAGGTGGCTGACTTTGACAGGTTGGACAAAGCCATTTGCGTTGATGGCAAGTACTGACACGGAGGAGGTGACTGTCGGTGGGATGAAAGTTGCAGCTGCAGCACATTGGACGATGGACAATAAAATGATGATTGCAAATA